GTCGAAGTCCTCGATGCTAGCGTCAATCCTCCAAGCAGCCCCACGCTACTCTGTTTTGGCTAAGTCCTTAATGCTAGAGACAATCCTCGAACGAAACCCAACCCCCCGCCCCCCACCCCCGCTACTCTAAATTTTCGGTGAAGTCATCAATCCTATAGACAATCATCCAAGAACCCCCCCTCAACCTGAAAATATCGGCGAGCTAGACATTCCTAACCATTTTAGCGTAGTCTTCCGCACGCACTGTATTCAAACCCCCCAAAGTCTCAACATACGATTCACTCGCGTCGACGATCGAACGACCCAAATTTCTGTTACTTCACTTGAATTGATCTTGGCCATTAAATTCCCAATGCCCAAAATTCCCTGGAGCTCCCAAACATCCAAACTCAAACGGGCCGTCAGAACAGCTCAAGGGCAAATGTTTCACGTTCGCCCACATGCCTTCGACTTTCCTCTAAAGATTCAGACGTAGCATTTTTCAACTGAGGGCGTGTCTCAACGCTGACACAAGTCACGCTAATTCATGTCAAGACTGCGTTGACGGGCAAACTTGACTAGCGAAATCCCTAATGAGACAAAAAGGGCCTGAAATCGGTTCACAAAGCAATAGGCCTTGAACAATCAGGCTGCCGGACAAATTCCCGGCCTGATTTGCTGCGTGCGTAGATTTTCGCCAAATTTTGACCATTAGTGGCTAAGCTAGCGCAAAACATGAAGTGCCGACATCCTATTAGTATTCTGCTGCTGTGCAATGTAACTTAGTACAACGGTTCCAACATTTTTGAATTTACCCTGAGGGCACAATATAAACTGGGGAACCACCCAGAGGATTCAGAATGAATATAGCCAACTTCTTGAATGCTACACGGTTTTTTGGAGACCAGCCCTGATTGGTCAGGATGCCCAAAATCCTATCTGAGGCCCTGAGTCCAGCCACTGGGAGAGGCCACAAGGCCAGTCAAGGTAAAATATATATAAAGGACAGTACAAAGTCAAGGCCCTAGCAAGTGAGAGACTACAAGAACGAGACCTAGCTGTAAACAGTGCCGCTGATGATCTTTAGGCGCAAGCGCCTTCGTAAAGATATCAGCTGTGTTGGCACCGGAGGCCAAGTGTACTACGCAAGCCTGGCGACGCTGCTGTAGCTCACGCAGGAGGAAGTACCGCAGCTGGATGTGCTTCGCTCTGCCCTCGAGTCGAGGCTCCTAACATAGGAGGATCATGGCCCTGTTGTCAGCGTACAGGACCGGGGCAGAGCTAGGCCGCTCACCTAAGTCAGTAAGCAAGAAGGTCAGCCAGCGGAACTCCTGTGCCGCCATGGCACCGGCGTAGATCTCGGCCTCACAGTTGGACTGGGCAACAGACGAAGAGCGGGTAGACCCGGAGAGACAGTGAGACATTGGGAAGATGACAGTGCCTGAGACGTTGGGGTGCTGGAAAGGCGACCGTGTCGAAGATGCGATGGATGAGGAGATGCAGACATTACTCGAGCAGGAGACTTGGGAACTCGTAACACCACCACCCGGGGTTAACATCATGAAGAATAGCTGGATCCTGAACACCAAGTACTGGCCAGATGGGCGAGTGGAGGGAGAGAAGGTGAGGCTGGTGGTCAAGGGGCTCACTCAAGTGGCAGGAGTTGACTATGAGGAGACCAATGCACCTGTGGGGAGTTACGTGACAGCAGGCATACGGCTGGCAGTGGCAGCTACATTGGATATGGAGCTGATGCAGTTGGATGTGAAGAAGGCATATCTTCACGGCGTGCTGGACAGAGATCTCTACATGGAACAACCCAAGTATTACGAGGATGGGACTCCTCGTGTCTGCAAACTGCTGAAGAGCCTGTACAGACTCAAGCAGAGCCCGATGCTCTGGTATGAGGCCTTGGATGGGGTGCTGCTTGGGGCTGGATGGTGCAAGAGCCAAGTGGATGAGTCTCTTTACTTCAAGAGCAATGATGGGGGTGAGATGTGATGGCTGCTTGTGTATGTGGATGATCTGCTGGCGGCCAGCTGCAGTACGTACCTGCTGGGGGAGCTGCGTGAGTTGCTGCAAGGCGCATTTCAGCTGAGAGAGATTAACCCCATCGAGAAATACTTGGGGTTGGAGCTGATATGCGAGAGGCCCTCACGAAGCAGTGGCTGCACTAGTCGGCCTACGTGGAGAAAGTGCAGCGGCGCTGTTTGGAAGGGGAGCTGCCTCAGCGTATGCCACGGACCTCTCTCTCCTCCGATCCATTCAGTGAGCTGACATTTGAGGATAAGGGGTGGCAATCAAGGCAGGAGGAGGAGTACAGGCACAAAGTGGGATCTTTGCAGCTTGCTGCTTGTACCACACGCCCTGACATCGCCTTCGCATGCAGTAAGCTTGGGTCAGGACAGACATTGCGCAGTGATCAGCACTTGAAGGAGCTGGAGCGGTGCCTGACCTGCTTGGTGGGGACCAAGGATGCGGCCTTAGAATTCAGTGGGGTTCCAGCATCCTTGGAGCTGATAGGGTACGCATACACTGATGATGCAGGAGACAAGCAAAACCGAAGCAGCACAGGAGGTTACGTCTTTGTGTTTGGCGGTGCTGCAGTTGCTTGGGCGAGTTAGAGGATTCATTGTGTCACTCTCTCCTCTACTGATTCAGAGTATATTGTGGCAATTGAAGCAGGGAAGGAGTCTCGCAGACTGCGCTTCCTTCTGGCAGAGTTTCAGCTGCTCAAGTGCGAGGAGCCGACGACACTCTTTGTCGATAATTCGTCTGCGATTGCTGTGGCAGGTGGCATGGGGCTCAAGGGGAGCCTCAAGCACATGGAGCGGCATCACATGTGGCTGCAGCACATGGTCAAGCACAGGAAGCTGGAGCTGCAGTACATCCCTACCAGCGAGCAACCTGCTGACTATCTCACTAAAGCGTTACATTTCCCAGCCCTTTCCCGTTGCTTTGATACATTGGGACAAGTGAGGACACATGCGATGGCTTTCTCTTCAAGCCCATTCCGTATTCCACTTTGTGGTGCTCGTCGAAGGAAGCGGATGAAGAGCATGTGGCGTGGAAGGAAGGAGGAAGGCTGGGGCGAGTACGTCCAATGTGCATTGGCAGCATTCCGTGACTATGAGCATTTATGTGCATACAATTTTGGCTCTACGTAGGTTTCTGCTAGTGATGATGCCATGGCCTATCCATGGTTGGTGCGGTGTGTGTTTCATATGAAAAACATTGCAAGCATACTGTTGATGTATATGACCCTTGTGTGTGTGCTCTATGTCTCTTTTTGGCTTATATGCTTGTATGTGTGTGCCCTGTGATTATAAAGGGCCTTGCTGTAGTAGTGCAGGGGAGTATTGGAAGCCCTACAGCAGCTGCGGGCAGCCAGCCGTTGAGCGGCTTATGTCGGTGCACCGATTGCCTGGCAGCTGCGGGTTGGCGTGACCAAGGTGCACGGAATGATCCTTGCAACCGAAGACTAAGTCTAGTCAGTGTGGACTGGTCCAGATATGCCCACGACGACCAGTAACTCAGACGAGTCTTGGGTAGTCGTAGATATCGCGATGCACTTCTGTGCGGAGCTAGGCAACTTTTACCTTGCTGATTGGAGCTGCGTACATGGCAAACCCAACCTTGCTGAGTTGGGTTGGGGAATTGGGTGAGGCGCGTTCATCCAGCCCTTCGGCGATTTCGGGGTGGTTGGTTACACCCCCAGCACTACACAACTTTGGTTGGGTTTGCACTTGCCTATATACAGTGGCGGAAAGTATTGTCCACATGTTTGTGACTTAGAGGAATTTTGCCATTTTTGGGGGTCATGGACATTAGCCTTAATCTTTTGATGTGCCTAGTGTATGTAGGTTGGGGTAAGGCTCCATGCCCATGCTTTACATCTCACAAAGATATTGATGTTTACAACAAATTACAACAAATAATCGACCGAACTATGCCGGCTAGACTCTTCGATCGCCTTAAGTCCATAATCGTGGACTGTGCTCTTGCCCTTCCTAGCTGTTTAGCGATTCGACGAGTGCTATACCCCCTCCGCAACAGGGTAATGATCCTTGCGTGGCGCTCCTCATCTATCGGTTTCATGACGGCCTAATCGTCATAGCGGTCCTAGCCTATCTCCTGACTACTCGATAATCGTGAGGGCAAGTAAGTAGAAAATGCGAGGTTAGGAAATAGATATAGTACGCTGCTTGGCATGAACTGACCGGATGCACCCATACGAACGAAATCTCGTCCTCAGTAAAAAATAGACCCCTATAAAACTGAACCAAGCATCCGTCACATACACTACAGTACTAATTTATAGCTTATGCTGAAATTTGATTCGTAACTAAACAAAATGGGCACCAAACCGGTTAGAGAAATGTTTTAAGGCAATTATCCGGGCAATACTTTCCCCCACTGTATTTGCATGCTTGTTTGTACTTCGAATCTATACTCTACTCGAATTTCAACCAAGTACTTGAAGGTGAACTCTGCCCGAATACCACCAGTGCCTAGCACGTTATTCCGATACCGTTACTCTGTCAGAATCGCTCCACACTTAGCAATTGCTCTCGCTTTAGCATTCCTTCAGCATCTACAACAACCCCTCAAATTTCTAGATCATTGGGGAAGGTTTATGATGGTAGAATATACCATGCTATGCTAGTTGTGTATATTGTGTTTACATCCCTAGTTAGGTGTACACCTGTGTTGGGGTGTCAATCCAACCCAATTGTGGTTGGAGCCCCCAAACACAAGGACCACAATTGTGGGGGCACCACATGTGGGTTGGCTAAACCACTGGTGGTACACCACACTTGGACCACCTCCAACTGGTGGTCAACCACATTTGGAAGGATCCTCCCTCCCTTGTGATTGGTCCTAACCCCCCTTTCCCTTCCAACCTTCCCTTCCTAGCTCATCCCTCTCTTCCTATGTAATGCCTTTGCTTCATCAATAAACTGAACCTTTCTGTTTCTAACATGGTATAGAGCAATAATGGCTCACGCCAACTTTTAAATCCCGATCCTTCCCCACGCTTCCGCCCCGTCCCCTTCCGACGTGCACCTCATTGCCGTCCCCTCCATCGCCGCTACTAGACTCCTAGCCGCCGCCTCTCAACTAGTTTTCTGTTGGGTGGATTTTCAAAAACCCCCAATGCGCCAAACGCCATAGCTCGCTCGATACTAGACAGAATTGAGTGATTCGACTTGCAAAAGAATGCTCTTGGTGTCAGCTACAACGTCGTAAAGTTTCGGACTGTTTCATCGTTTGGATTGTCAGATATCGCTTTCCGAAGTTTGCACACTTTCCTGGATGTGATCACGAAGTGCTACTGAAATTTCTACCAAGTCCTATTTTCATCAGCTAACTGCCATCTTTCCCCATCTTTTGCCTCCTCACCTGCACCTGCTCATCGCCGCCTTACCACTGCTGCAGCCGTAGCAGCAGCAGCACCAGAAGGAGCAGCAGACTCAGCAGCAGCAGCAGCAGCAGTAGCAGCAGCAGCAGCAGCAGCAGCAGCAGCAGCTGAAGGAGCAGCAGCAGCAGCAGCAGCAACAGCGGCAGCAGCAGCAGTGGCAGCAGCAGCAGCGGCAGCAGCAGCAACAGCAACAGCAGCAGCAGCAGCAGCAGCAGAAGGAGCAGCAGCAGCAGCAGCAGCAGCAGCAGCAGCAGCAGCAGCAGCAGCAGCAGCAGCAGCAGCAGCAGCAGCAGCAGCAGCAGCAGCAGCAGCAGCAGCAGCAGCAGCAGCAGCAGCAACAGCAGCAGCAGCAGTATCTACAGCCATCCCCATCCTCCCCTCCTCTTTGAGCCGCCGCGGGTCCACCCGCCGCCGCTCCCTCCTGGCCACCGCGGGTCCACCCGCTGTCGCCTTCCTCCCACTCCGTGTCACCAATGGCATCCTTTCCTGTTAGAATATACCATGCTATGCTAGTTGTGTATATTGTGTTTACATCCCTAGTTGGGTGTACACCTGTGTTGGGGTGTCAATCCAACCCAATTGTGGTTGGAGCCCCCAAACACAAGGACCACAATTGTGGGGGCACCACATGTGGGTTGGCTAAACCACTGGTGGTACACCACACTTGGACCACCTCCAACTGGTGGTCAACCACATTTGGAAGGATCCTCCCTCCCTTGTGATTGGTCCTAACCCCCCTTTCCCTTCCAACCTTCCCTTCCTAGCTCATCCCTCTCTTCCTATGTAATGCCTTTGCTTCATCAATAAACTGAACCTTTCTGTTTCTAACATGGTATAGAGCAATAATGGCTCACGCCAACTTTTAAATCCCGATCCTTCCCCACGCTTCCGCCCCGTCCCCTTCCGACGTGCACCTCATTGCCGTCCCCTCCATCGCCGCTGCTAGACTCCTAGCCGCCGCCTCTCAACTAGTTTTCTGTTGGGTGGATTTTCAAAAACCCCCAATGCGCCAAACGCCATAGCTCGCTCGATAGTTGACAAAATTGAGTGATTCGACTTGCAAAAGAACGCTCTTGGTGTCAGCTACAACGTCGTAAAGTTTCGGACTGTTTCATCGCTTGGATTGTCAGATATCGCTTTCCGAAGTTTGCACACTTTCCTGGATGTGACCACGAAGTGCTACTGAAATTTCTACCAAGTCCTATTTTCATCAGCTAACTGCCATCTTTCCCCATCTTTTGCCTCCTCACCTGCACCTGCTCATCGCCGCCTTACCACTGCTGCAGCCGTAGCAGCAGCAGCACCAGAAGGAGCAGCAGACTCAGCAGCAGCAGCAGCAGCAGTAGCAGCAGCAGCAGCAGCAGCAGCTGAAGCAGCAGCAGCACCAGAAGGAGCAGCAGACTCAGCAGCAGCAGCAGCAGTAGCAGCAGCAGCAGCAGCAGCAGCAGCAGCTGAAGGAGCAGCAGCAGCAGCAGCAGCAACAGCGGCAGCAGCAGCAGTGGCAGCAGCAGCAGCGGCAGCAGCAGCCACAGCAACAGCAGCAGCAGCAGCAGCAGAAGGAGCAGCAGCAACAGCAGCAGCAGCAGCAGCAGCAACAGCAGCAGCAGCAGCAGTATCTACAGCCATCCCCATCCTCCCCTCCTCTTTGAGCCGCCGCGGGTCCACCCGCCGTCGCTCCCTCCCGGCCACCGCGGGTCCACCCGCTGTCGCCTTCCTCCCACTCCGTGTCAGCAATGGCATCCTTTCCTGTTAGAATATACCATGCTATGCTAGTTGTGTATATTGTGTTTACATCCCTAGTTGGGTGTACACCTGTGTTGGGGTGTCAATCCAACCCAATTGTGGTTGGAGCCCCCAAACACAAGGACCACAATTGTGGGGGCACCACAAGTGGGTTGGCTAAACCACTGGTGGTACACCACACTTGGACCACCTCCAACTGGTGGTCAACCACATTTGGAAGGATCCTCCCTCCCTTGTTATTGGTCCTAACCCCCCTTTCCCTTCCAACCTTCCCTTCCTAGCTCATCCCTCTCTTCCTATGTAATGCCTTTGCTTCATCAATAAACTGAACCTTTCTGTTTCTAACAGGATGGGCACTCCTTGGTTGTCCATGCTGATGGCTTGCTCCCCCGCCCCCCTGCGCCTGCTCCCCTCCCTGCTGACCCCACCTCTGCTGAGCGTGAGACTTTCTCTGCTGCTGCACTTGCCTGTGCCATCTGGGACTCTCGTGATGCAAATGCTGCCGTCAGGGACTCTCGCGATGTAGTTGCTCAGGTTGCTATCAGTCATGCCCTCCCTGTGTCTGAGAATTCGCGTTTTGCTACAGTTGATATTGCCAAGGCTTACTTAGAGGCTGTTGTTGCTCGCTATTCCACGCCTGCCTCCGCTACTGCAGGCCGCCTACTCTTCCCTATGCTTTTCCCAGACCTTGCTTCCTTCCCTACTGTTGCTGACCTTGCCACTCACCTGCGCGCCCTAGAGTCTTGCTACCGCACTGCTAGCACTGCTGCCCAGCTCACTGCGCTCCCTCCCCCCTTCTGCATGACCCTCTACTTTATCGCCATGCGCCTGACTGACCGCCTTGCTAGTGCACGCGACCACATCCTTAGCCAGCACCCGTTTGATCTCACCCTGCCCGCCTTTGTCACCGCCCTGACCGAGATCGAGACTCTCCAGCGCACTATCGCTCAGTCGAGCAGTGCGCCGGGAGTCTCTATCTTTCACGGCTATGCCCCCTCCCAGTGCACGTTTACTGAAGTTTCGGCTGCGCTCGCCACTGCGATCCCTCTGACCGGGACTGCAGCTGTGGTACAGCCGCAGCAGCGCTCGCGCCGCGCCGGTCGTGGCCACCAGGGAGGGCGTGGTGGTGGAGCTGGTGGTAGTATTGGTGGTACCAGGGACAGTGGTTCTACTGAGGGGACTGCCTCAGCTAGTCAGGAGCAGCAGCCGTTGCCCCAGCAGCAGCAGGAGTAGTCGCCGCAGCCATCGCAGCAGTCACAGTCGTCGCAGCAGCTGTCCCAGCCCCAGTCGTGGGCTCGTCTCCCGCCGGGTTGGCCCGGCAACTCCGTAGATGGTGGCCGTGGTGGCGGCCCGCGCAGCTTGGCGTCTACCGGCAGCTCCGTTGGTGCGACCTGCCAGTACCAGCTTCAGACCGGGCCTCTCCGCGGCACTCTGTGCCGCCGCCCGCACCCGACCGCCCGCTGTTTCCGCCGCCTCAACGATCTCTTTCGTCGTCGCTTTGGCCCGGCCTCGGACCTCCCCGACTGGCACAGCCTACTTCGCCAGGGCGTGCCGATCTTTGAGTTAGATATGGATCAGATAGGTGCTACTTTGCATGCCTTGTATGCTAACACTTCTAGTGTTGCTGGATCTTATTACCCTGTGTACTCTAGTTTAGGCGTAGCACCCTTGTGTAGCTTAGCCTCCCCTGCTGCGTCAGGCGTAGGACTGCCTAGTTTGCCTAGCCTAGTTTCTGCACCGGCTCCGTTCCCAGCCTCCGCCACTGCCTCGCTGTCCTTCACTCTCGACTCCGGTGCTTCTGCCTGCTTCTTCCGCGACCGCTCCACGCTCACGCCGCTTGCTGCGCCTGCTGGTGTTGCTCTCGCTGACCCCTCTCCGGGTCCTTTCGTCGCTCGCAGCTCCACTTCCCTTCCCTGTCCAGCCGTCCCCTTGGGCTCTCTTACAGGCCTCCACGTTCCCTCGTTCTACAGGAACCTGGTTGGTGTCGGCCGTCTTCAGGACCTCGGCGTCACCACTACGTTCCCTGGGCATGAGCGGTTCGCTGTCTGTACCGAGGCAGTCTAAGGTTCCCCCCTTGCGACGTTCCCCCAGGACCCAGTGTCCGGTCTGTTTACCCTCGACACCGCTTCCCTCCTAGTTGGTGCGTCCTCTTAGGTCAGTGCAGCTTGCTCACACACCCATCCCTTATGTGGCACCACCGCTTAGGTCACCCTGCTCTCCCGCGCCTGCGTCACATGTCTCAGCACGGTCTTGTCTTAGGCCTCCCTGCGTCGCTTCCTGCACTTCCCCACTCGACTGCGCCACCGTGCACGCCTTGCGTCGAGGGCCGGCTCTGACGTGCCCCTCACTCCTCCTCGCTTCGCCCTGCTACTGCTCCCCTTCAGACCCTGCACCTGGATGTTGTTAGAAATAGACTGCAAATACCACTTTTGTATTTGTACTTTTATATCCTAGTTTAGGTTATGAATGTTCTAGTGGGTTGGGGTGTACTCACAAATCCCAACCTCACCCAATTGTGATCCCCCCAATCTCCAATTACCCAATTGGAGATTCTGGAGATCCCAATGGGGATTCCCTCCAATTCCCCCTTCATCCATTCACTCTCACCTTGCCATGTACTTATAGAGCCTTGGGCTCCTTACCTAATCAATCATTTCAACTCTATTTCTTACTGACGTTTGGGGCCCAGCCCCCGTCCCCGGACCGCGCTAGCAGCACGCTGCTGGTGGCGAGCTGGCGGCTAGCCGCTGGTGGCGCGTTAGCGGTTGCGAGTGAGCGGTGAGCGGCTGCCAGCGGTGAGCTGGCGGCGGCGAACTGTGAGCGAGCTGCTGGCGGCAGCTAGCTGGTAGCAGATTGCGAGTTGCTGCGGGCGGCGAGCTAGCGGCGGCTGTTGGCGGCGAGCTAGCAGCAAGCAAGCTGGCGGCCTGCTGGCGGCGAGCTGGTAGCGACTAGCGTGCTAGTTGCGGTGGCAAGCTGGCAGTGATTGGCAGGGAGGCTAACGGAAAAACGCGGGCAGTGCAACGGGCAACAGCAGGCAAGCCGCCAACAGTGCCAGCCAGCTCGCCGCCAGCAGCACTCGCTGGCTGCTAGCGGTGCCAGCTAGCATGCCGCCACCAGCGCAAGTTGCTTGCCACCAGTGCCAGCAGCCAGCAGCCACCACTGGCCACCTGCCGCCAGCAGCGCGCTGCCAGCAGCCAGCGGCCAGCATCAGCCGCCAGCTTTTTAGTGGCGTGCTGCCAGCAGCCCCCGCTTACCGCCAGCTCCCACCTGCTGCGCGCTGCTACCCACTGCCGCACGCTGCCGCCCACTTTTGCCGTTGCCGCTGCCACTGCCGCTCAGTGCCACTGCAGCTACCACGGCCACTGAGGCTACCACTGCCACAGCCGCAGCTCCTATTGCACGCTGCCGCTGCAGCCGCCGCTACAGCAGCCCCTGCTGCTGCTCCTACCGCTGCCGCCGCTACCGTTGCAGCCGCCACTACAACAGCCCCTGCCGCTGCTCCTACCACTGCCACAACTGCCGCTGCAGCCGCCACTACAGCAGCCCCTGCCAATGCTCCTACTGCTGCTGCCGCTACTGCTGCAGCCACCACTACGAGCCCCTGACGCTGCTCCTACCGCTGCCGCTGCTGCTGCTGCAGCCGCCACTACAGCAGCCCCTGCCACTGCTCCTACCACTGCCGCAGCAGCAGCAGCAACCGTAGCTGCCGTACGGGCCGCTGGGAGTGGTGGTCGTGGTGGAGGCCTAGGAGGTTGGGCCCCAGAGTAGTCGGTTCCCATGGGGTTGCGTGGCTCTTCTGTGAGCCAAGGAGTTGGTGGTCCTGGAAGCACTGTGACCTGCACGTACCAGGTGCTGACCAGCCCACAGGCGTGCTAGATCTGCCGCTCGTTGCTACCATCGCCTAGACGACCTCTACCATCGCCAGTTTGGCCCCCAAGTGCAGGTACCCCAATGGCCCACCTTGTTTCATCGTGGTGTCCGATCTTTGATATGGATATGATTTAGATAGATCATGCCCTGTATTCTCTATGTACTGATTACTCTAGTGCTGCTGGTTCTTATTATCCTGTTGTTTGTAGCCTGGGAGCAACTACTGTGTTTATTCTAGGATCCCCTCTTACGTCAGACGTAGACTCGCCTGCTGGATTAGGCATAGGATCTATTAGCGATACTTCAGTGGGCCCCGCCACGTCGGCTCTCTCTTTTATCCTAGACGCTGGTGTGTCTCGTCGCACTAGCAGACTCTTCAGCCACATGTGTTGCACGTAGCACCACCACACTCCCCTATCCAGCTGTCCCCTCCGGCTCCCTCACCGGTCTGCACATCCCCTCATTTGCCAGGAATCTAGTGGGTGCCGGTCACCTCCAGAACTGAGGCATCACCACTACGTTCCCTTGCCGCGAGCGCCACCCATCTTGCGCAGACAGAGCCTCTAGTCGCCACCTAGCCACTTTTGAGCGTGACCCTGCGTCCGGTCTCTTCACACTACACACTGAGTCACATCCAGTTTGCTGCGTCTGCTGAGGTCGCCGCCCGAAACTCCTCCTCGTTTCCTCCTACCACAGCGCCACTACAGACACTGCACATGGTCGTCTGGGGCCCTGCGGCGATCCATGGTCTTAGTTGGGAGCGCTACTTTCTAGTCATCGTTGACGACTTCTTGAGGTTCATCACAGTGTTCACGTTGGAGCGGAAGGCGACATGCCTACCGACCTCCTCCCGTGGCTTTGTGCTGTTCGCACCCACCACCGCTTGCCTGTAGTTTGCTTTCACTCTGGCCATGGTGGCGAGTTCGTCTCTGGCCGTCTAGGACAACTCTGTCGTGCGGAGTGCATCCACCAGACGTACACCCTGCCAGAATCCCCACAGCAGAATGGGGTCGTAGAGTGTTGCATCAGCCTAATCATGGAGGTTGCTTGCACCTCCATGGTCCATGCTGGTGCACCCCATTTTCTGTGGCCGTTCGCAGTGCGCTACTCTACTCAGCAGCTAAACATGTGGTCGTGCTCCCAACGGCCACAGGTTTCGC